TCGACTCGCCGACGTCAAAGGCATCGGTGTTGCTGGGAGCGGTCAGACCGTGTTTTCCTCGACTTCATCTGGCTACTTACTGGCCCTGGTCCGCGCCCGCAGAGTTGTCAATCGTGATGCCATCCAGGGTCAAGTTCTCAGACGAGTTGATGGAGAAGCCCTGGACCGGGGTGTTCTTGACGTTCAGCCCACTGATCTTGGAGTTCTTCTTGAGCGAGTGGGCGTAGAAGAACTTGGGCTTGGTCTTGCCGCCGTTGCTTCCCTCGCCGTCCCACCACTTGGCACCATTTCCGTTGATGACGTGTCCGGAGCCTCCCTTGACCGTGATGGAGTTTCCGGAAACGCTGATGAGCGGACCTTCCCACTCCTTGTAACCGAACGTGGTAGTGCCTTCGAAAGTGACAGTAGTGCCGTCGTTGAGGTCAGTCAGGTCAAGAGTCTCGCCGGCCGGGACGGTCATGGACGAGATGACAATGTTGGAGCACGAAGCCTTCTTGCTGGCAACCGACGCGTTGTCGGTAAAGGTGCAGCCAGAGCTGGTGCCGTTGGAGGCAAGGATCGTGGGGGCGGCGGCAGCCATGGTAGCGGCGCCAGCGCCGAGCATGAGAGTGTTAAACTTGACCATCTTTGCGGTATTCGATCAACGAATGACGGGTCGAAAGAGTGACGGGTTGCTGAAAAGGAAGGAAGAGAGTGTGTGCTCCGACAAAGACGACTTTGGCTCTGCTTCCACGGCCGCTTTATACAGATCCAGGAAATGGAGAGGGTGTTCAGGCATCCTCGCAGACCAGTGAGCCCACAGCTAACAGCGAGGGACAAGAAATGACAAGACTGATCCTCACAGGGGCCTGAGGCTTAGCCTGTCGCCGCATCAAAGCTCGGCTGCTCCTCCGAGATCTAGGGACTTGTTCCAGGACTTTAGCGAGCTGCCTCTGGCCTGAAGCGGACATGGGACGATGGAGAATAAATTGGGGGACGTTGGGACGGATGGGGAAAAGATCTGGAGCTTGGATTGGTTGTTGCACAGTTCATGACGGAGAGAGCACATCAAAAGTAACAAGCGATGCAAGACACTGCATTACATGATGTTAGGCGCGCCTCTTTTCCCATCGCAACGCCAGTAAATGGAAAGGGGCCAAGTGGACCAAGTCATGCTGCCGATTCGTACGTGCCAACGTTCCAGGAGTCGGACGCTGCAGAAAGGAACGAGCCATGTCGTGAGGCGTGGGGGAAGCGGCGATGGTCGAGTGATGTGTGTGGTCGAAGCGGCGGTGATTCTCCGTCGGCGGCGGCCCCCTGCCGGGGGATCCACCGAGCGCACTGCGCTCGACCCATCGTCAATATGAAACAAAAACATACGAGGCTAAATCTGCAGTCGACAATTGTGGGTTCTGACGACAATCGCGATGCGGGAGGAAAAGCAACCGCGCGTGGTTTTGAAATAGACAACCATGCATTATTCCCGCCCGATTATATGATCTTTTCTTCTCGAATCATCAACTCCGTCTGCTTGTATATGCCCATCTCTTCATCAACATTCTTCTTGCCGCTCGCTGTCGACGTGCGGTCTGAAACGCTGCTCCCTTGCACCGTTCTGGCGTCTGTTGACTGGAGGCGGTTCATGTCGTGTACTTCGCTGTTTAGCGTAAATCTCTCCTGGCTCTTGCCGCGACGCCATCCAGACATTCGCGATGTACTGGTTCCGCCCCGTCTCGAATCTGTGCTGTCCAGCGTGGTGACTGTCTGGACATAGGAGCTGAGCAGTGGCCGGAACGTTGCTAGATTGGCCGCCAGAATGCCAACCGCCGCCTCAACTGCCGACCAAATTGCAATGGGTGTCACCGTGTCTGTGGCGAGTCAGCTATTGCCCGAGAGCAGGATGCGCGAAGGGACCCACATGTATAATCCAACGTCCGATTCAGAGTAGGGAGCGAAGACATGCGAATCATGGACGCCACACTCGAGCTGTTTCGCTTAGCACGCGTTGCAAAGGGGAACGGGAGCATGCTTACAAGTAGCCCAGGCACAGTAAGACTATAATGATGACCTTGGCCTGCTTTTTCAATTTGGATTTCCTCAACAGGAAGATGGGCAAGGTGCTCAAAATCCAATCTGACACGATTGACATGGTATTGTGCGCGTAGCTTGCGCCGAGGATCGTGCTTTCTGGCAGACATGAGCCCTTCTTGAGGATAATTTGGTCCCAGAGATGTGAAATTGGCGAGCACTGGTTGAGTATGAGGAAGAAGTAGCCGATGGAATATAGAGAGTTGACAGCGATGACGACCCATACTGTCCACTTTTGCCATTTGAGGTTCGTGAGGCGGAGGAAGAAGGCGCAGATGGAGATTTTGAGAAACATGACGCAGAGAATATACTCGAGTTCGGCAGCGAGATATGACTGAGAATGTTAGATTGCCACTTGTGTTGCCCGAGATGACCTTACTTTGAACCCGAAGATAATCCATTTTGTAGGAACTTTCCAAATGTGTTTGCCAAACCCACTATATGCGAGCAGTATCATGGAGATGCCCATGGCTGTGAACGACGCCTGCAAGGGTGTGGTGTCAGCGCAGCTCCAAAGTGCATCAGTCTCGTCAGACCTACCCAAGTAAGCATCATCCACCAGTCGTCGGCTCCCCATGACTTGATCTTGATGGCTCGAACGTAGACACGAAGACATGTCGTTACCCAAACCACCACCAGAGAAATGATTAGCACGACATAGATCACCGTGCCTCTCACCGCAGGCGCGTGTGTGAAATCAGCCGTTCCTGGCATTCTGGCGCGTTGCAAAAGGAGCAGCACTAGGAGTATGCGTGCAGATACACTACTTATTCAAGAGGAGCCGATACTTGTCTTGGGTGGGCCCTGGGACCCTGACATAGCCACCCATCGACAATGTGCCTCTAGACCAGTCGTCGATCCGAATCACTTCCAGTGATGAAGATGAGCCAGTCGGAAGTGGTCGAGGGCAAGCCAGCACGGCGGCCAGCCCCCTATAGCTGTTGGGCTGGAGTTGGGGAATAGTGCGCAGTAGAGTACCGTTGCAGTTGGAAGACATTTTGACGTTGATTGGACGATTTGGGCACTAGTTTGTGAATTAGTACTTTGAGGCAGAACCATTTGCCTATTGTGGGATAGCAGGCCCCAAGATTCCGCAAAAAGAAGTCTGGGATGGAGGATTTGAATTGACACAGAATCCGCATTTCCTCGAGCACTGGCTCTCCCGTTTTCCCATCACAACTCTTGAAAGCTTGGATGTTCCGCTCCTACTCCGTACTCGTATCATCATCCGGTGAAAGCTAGGGCGAGGGTGGTGATGCGGCTCGACGTTTGTCCAATTTGCGCTTTTTACCTGCCGGCTGGCAAGTTGAATGACGTCCCCCAATTTGCTCTGAGACTATTCTCCTCGCATCATTCCTGTTTTCTCAGTCTCAGTACGTCCAGACATCTTCATCGTTTGTTTGGCAATGACCTGGCCCTGTTTTTTGGTCACGAGCGAAGTCAGAGCTGCAAACGGCCAAGAGTTCCCGCTCGGAATCGTACTCCTAGGAAGCCAATCGGACCCTTGGCATCGGCTGACCATTTGGAAGCGACGAAGGAACGTCTGGCATGGATCATCCAACACAGTGTGAGTTGAAGAGCGAGTTTTTGAGCCACGACTTGATGCGTGGCTTTCTCTCCCACTCCTGGCATCATCTTTGACACAGCTCCGGTAGTCGTCTCCGAGTGGTCGACAAGAGAGAATTCCCAAAAACGCAAAAAATTCGCATTGCGCTCAAGCCGAGGTTCATTTTGGAGGGACGCTATCGGCTGAGTCCCAAGACTTTGGCCGGAATGATGGAAAAGACGGTCCTGTTGGGTTCGACATCCAGGTCGACGGAGCTGACGGCACCTAGCTTGCTGCCGAGGCGTCTCCAGCTGAGACCAGCCACTGTGGCTTCTTGACGATAAACGCCATAGCCGTCATTTGAACCCTGAATTCCCCAAGAGACTATCGAGGCCAAGTCGCGTAAAATTGAGCTTCAGGTGAAGGGAAGCGCTGGGTAATGGTTCTCGTCTCGTCGATCTCGGAGATGGCCCCGGGCAGGAAGCCAGAGGCGGCAAAGGACAGTCAACATTGTCGATATTCATCTCCGTTTGCTTTTCTTTGGGGCTGGTTCTTTGTGATGGAATGATGCGATGGGGATGTTCGGGGGTGATGTTGTGCAAGTGCGCGGGAGTGGTTGCGAGGGCAGTTGCCGAAGCCGGGCAAGCAAGCGAGGCCCGATGCTTGCCGTCCTTCTGCAGGAGCCTTCCCATCTTCAAGCCGCTCTTTCTCGACATGCCAAATTTGCAGGGCAACAAGCTCCTGTCTCGTCATTCAAATACTGTGCTCGACATGCACAGCTCGACTATGGAGGCTGATATCAAATACCAACATTCGCTCTTCTAGGTTTTCTATGGCGAGCAGGTGCGTTAGCCAGGGCTGCATCACCACGCCAGTCATCGACTATTATTTCACCATGGCATGATCTTGAGTTTTCTCATGGACTCTAGGCGTCTTGCCAAATTTCGATGGATCATTCTCGACGTTGAGACCAGTGTGATGTAGCGGCGAAGCGACGTCACTGAACCCGTTCGCAGACAGCCATTCGGATCTGATGTTGTCATCGTTGGTCTGCCCTCGCCGCCTGTGCCAAAAAACTTTAGCTGATCTGGATTCCAGAATCTATGCATCACAGGAGTGTCAAAATTACCAGTGCTAAAACTAATCGAGGTTGAGTTTGATGGAGTTCTGTGCTGCCGCGAAAAACTTGGAATTTTGACTGACTCAACACGGTCTAAATCAGAACCACGATTCCATCGCCAAAAGCCGACAAGCCGAATCATAAAATGATCTTTTATTCTTTCGTCGGTGTGCACTTTGGGCGAAAACACGCTCCTGGTACTTGAAACGATTTTTGAGCAATTTATAACCCTTAAAGCTCGCCGGAATTTCAAGAATTCGCAACTTCGGCACTTTGGCGGAGTGGTTAACGCGCTGGCCTGCTATTATCTCCTAGATTCTAGCTGTATAGCCAGTTCCTTCGGGAGCGTGTGTTCGAATCACACAGGTGTCGCGTAAATATCCGAAGATTCTTTTTGTCTTTGGAGCTCCCCTTTGCTCTGCAGGTTGATGTCTCTCCAAGCTGTTGTGATCAAGTCTTGGGGCGTTGCGGTGCTGCGATTTTTGCGACCGAAGCCCCGCCTTTCCGAATCAGGTTAGTGGTGTTTTGACACAGCCGCGGCGGACAACCTTTTCAACGCCCCGCGGATGCTGCTGCACCCGCCACCCTTTTTCCAACCGACTCGAGCAAAACACCCTGGGAGCAGCCCGATATCCAACATCGACACCAATCGCGACGATGAAAGTAACTGTGCATAGCATGCTTGGATGCAAGCTGACGTTGCACTCGAAGTGCACTCAGGACGTCACATACCTGTCTGGCCCGCGTCTTGTTCGCGTTGATTCGACTTTTCATGTCCCACAACAGCAGTTTCAGCGCTCTTTTGTTACTCCATCGACCTGGTAGCCTTGAACCTTCTCACTGAACCGTCCCTATACATGTCATCTGATCACCAACGCCACTTGTTGGTCGTACCATCCTCCTCAACTTGGAAAACAAACAAGCAGCGCGGTGCGGGAAAACATGCTTTCGACAAAACCTAACCTGTCCAACTACCAATGTGGAGCCCGCTTCGTGATCCAACTGTGGAACCTTCCGCGCTTCCGCCAGTAGTTACTTCGGCAGAGTCTATCCACGAGTGGGCATCATTACAGCATCTGCCTAATAGGCGCGTCGGCGAGAATACGAATACAGCATAGAGTACCGATGGATTAGATCCAAAGCCACCACCAAGGCCTTTAACCTGGCTGATTGCTTGCAATTCGCTGCTCAACGGCTAACGCTATAGTCTCAGTATTGTGTTTTCCCCGACCCTGAGGTGCTCTTTGCGAGTAGTACCAATCTACCCCTTTTTCTCCTGACAACATGTCGACTCAGCATTCGTCTTTGCATCTACCATCTCTCACTCACGCCTTCAATGAGAGCTCCGTTCGAGGCCCACATACCGAGCGTTGCCGACCGGCCAAGGCCGGCGAATGCCCTAACTTTTCTCATACGACAATCCATCGCGACGGCCCGCCCTGAAGTTGCCTCCGTAAATGCCAAGGCACAACATCCCTAGCCAGCAACATGCTTGGCGTGTCCGCGACAGGAGCAGGGAGACCCTTCAAGAGTCAAGTTTCTCTCCGCGGATAGGCAAAGTATGCCACTCTTGAACACGCCTAGCCAACACCTCCTGCAGCATTCGGACCGCTCATGCAAATGTCGCTGAATGCCTCACGACGCGAAATTTCATGGTCGTATTTGGTCCTTTTACCCATTGTCCCGGATTGCAGACTGCGCTACCATACCGGAGATCCAGTCAACAAGTCAGGCACACGTGGCAGTCTCGCCTCAAGTCCTGGGATGATTCGCCTGCTGAGATAGCCACCACAAGAAAGATGCGTATTTTCAAAGCTTCACGCGGCTTTTCCAAGTATTTCGAGCATGAACACCCACGGCAGCGGCTCAAAGATCGACAAGACGCTGATCGACAAGCCAAATGCGCGTCATAGGTATGGCATGCTATGAAACTTGTGGCCGAATCCCTTTCACTGTCCTCAAGTTGGCAGTTTGCAGTTGACAAAAGCGGTAAGCCGTGCAGTCCCCATAGTGTCGACTCTGGGGTCAAGAGCGGGGAGCCCCAGTTGACCAGGCCAAAGCTTTAATTTCCTTTGGTACCTTTTGTCGATTCAGGTCGGGGTTGCAAGATTAGGCCTGCTAGCGCACGACTTGTATACCGTCCTTCCCTACGCGCAGTCTGGCACACTCCAACGTCAATCGCGACAGGACGTACAATTCAGCAACAACAGACCCATTTGCAAAAGCTTCGCCCGATATCAGCCCTGTGCGGCTTTGGGCGTTCAGGGACAGCCATGACGTACGTTTATGCAGGTACGCGGGGAGAATCCAAAGGGGTCGAGTCACCTTGTTTGAAATAGAGTTGACGGCTATTTCCTCCCTTGACAGCAACGTTTCCGAGTAAACCCTAACCGCCGCCACCACTTATCAGTCACCCAAAAATACCAAGACACTCCACCACGGCAAATATCGGACATCGAATGGCGAGCTCTGCGAGTAGCGTTAAGGTTGCGCTTGATTCTGAGTTTCATTGAGCTGCCCAGACTGGGGGGAAGCTTGCCCCTCCCAAAGTCACCGCCTTTTAAAGAGAGACTATGACCTCTCCATAATCCTCATCGATTCCCCTTTTGGTCAATCACGACCAACACAGTTCGCTCCGACGAGACAGACACAGGTTACGGAATTCGACCAAACCAACATGCGTTTCTCCACGCTCTTGGCTGCCGGCGCAGCTCTGCTCGGCTTCGCTGCTGCCATGCCTGAGGCCTACCCTGACGCAGCCGATTTGAATGTTGTTGGACGCCTCGGCAAGCGATCATTGATCAACAACTTGGAGACTCGACAACGTAAGGTCTCCACCAGTTCAATCGACATCATCAGCTCTCTTGATATTGACATTTCCTCCCCGGCAGTGTGCAACGGTTCTATTGTTCTCGACACTACCACGCAGACCTACGTGATCCCACAAGGAGACACCTTGACGAAGATCGCGGAGAAGTTCAAGCGTGGCATTTGCGACATCGCCAAGTTCAACAACATCAGCAACCCCGACTTCATCCTGGCTGGCGCGACTATTACTATCCCGCCTCAAGTCTGCTTCCCGGACAGCACCTCGTGTATTTCGACAGTCACTCCCACCGCCACTTGTATCAACGGTGGTCCCGGCTTCTACATTGTGCAATCTGGCGACGCCCTTGGTCAGATTGCGCGAGCCTTCAACATTACGCTGGATGCCGTCACTGGTGCCAACAAGGCGAACATTCCCAACCCGGATGTCATCCAACCCGGACAAGTTGTCAACATACCCATATGCGAAAACAGCACTTGCGAATTATCAGGGTACAAGATCAAAGCAGGCGACACGTTCTATCTCCTTGGCCGGCGCTATCGCAGTTCGGAAGGGCAGGTCAGAGCAGTCAACCCTGGTGTCAACCCGAACACGCTGCAGATCGATCAGGTCATTACGCTAGTGTCGTTCTGTCACAAGTTTCCTGGCACGGAACCTGCGAACGAGCTGTAGAGTTGCTGTACCTACACGTTTTTGTTCTCATTCATCACAAGATTGCGGCTTCATACGATCGGCAGCGGTGTTCATGACGAATTTACGTCAATGTCTTGTGGAAGGACTAATGGGGTTTTTCTTTTTGACATCACTGTAATTAGTAGTGATTCAATACATGTCTCCACCATCTCGTCCTTGCAACTCTACATGGTACCATGCGCGCACAAGTTTTGACCCACCTCCCCATGCCTTCCAACGTCCCTCCTGCCGAGAGACTTGGAGCATTTGTCATGCATGTCAACGTCTTCCGGATGCGGAAGGTGAAAACATCACGGCTTCCGGCAAACATCAATGACAACGTCAGTTCATGCGCGCCTCTCGCACCTCCCCGTCTCAGTCTAGCCGCGCTTGTCAATTCTTCGGCTTGCAGACGAGCCGCTCCTTGGAAGTTTCTCATCCAGCAGATGTCGAGATCGGTCACCAACCACAACAGCCACATCCGCCTAATTTTTGTGCGAAAAACGACCAACCAGCGCACTCCGCCTAAACACAGCTCTCAAACGCATGATGCATCGTGCACGTCTGTAGATCAGATCGACTGCGCTGCGCGCCGCCGCCCGTCGCAACCAACCCTCTTGCCCGTGTTTCCATGCGCGAGCCAACCTTCGAGAGCGTTTCCTTTGGCCGCCTTCGCAGACAGACAGCCCCAGACAGACATGTCGGCATCAACCGACCGCGCTGCGCGTCCGCCCGCGGCATGTGCCGTACCGTACCGTACCGCACCTTACCACGGCGCGTCGCGACGTCTATCCTCAAAAAGATATACTTCAAAATACCGTTCTCCCAACCTCCCCAATAAGTACCTACCCATCCGTCGGTACTGCTGCTGTACACTGTCTCGCCAGGCAACCACCACCCACCTACCGAGACAATCAAGCGGCTACTGCCGGTAGCGGCCGGGGCCGGGATGTGGTTCCCTGCGTGGTGCGGTGCGCAGCCACGCGGGTGCCGAGACACGCCAGCCGCTGAGCCGACAAGAACGGCGTTGCGTTGCTTTTGGCGGATGCGGTGGATGTAGTGAGTGAGGCTGCAGTGGTCGCGTGGTTGATTTGTGCATGCATGCATGTCAGTAGGCGAGGCCAGATTGACGGATTGACGGATTGACAGGTTGGCGGAATGGGTGGTGCTGCGGTGTGTTTGTTTGCGGTGAGGAGGGGAAGCTGGTTGTCGGTGAACGACAGGGGCCGCGTGGTGTTGAGTTGCGGAGTGACATTTCCGACTATATAGGTTGGGTACCAGGGGATGACCTAGTGCTTCTCACGTGCTGGCAATGGCACTTCTTTTGTGGTATAAAAAAATGTGGTGCTTGCCTGTCTTGCTCACATTATTCCAGGGCGCTTTCCTCGCAGCTCATGCAATCAGTCTTGGAAGCCACCATGGATAAGCACATACTTTTGTTCCGCTTTTGGATTGCAGCCATCCAAGAAGCAGAACTGTCCGCCCGCTTGTTTCTTGTCCCCTAGATGCGGAACATCATTACATGAGTAACGCGACACGATTCTTGAGAGCAGCATCTTGTGCGAATGTCTGCATTCACCGTCAAAGCCTGTTGGTCTTCGATCAAAGATGGAAGTCCCAGGGCAAAGTTAAGAAAGAGCAAACAGTGACTCTTCAATCGAAGCCCTCAAGACAAATTCAAAGAAGATCTTGTAGGTTTTAATGTCGAAAGGCTTAACGGGATGTCCACAGAGCGAACTTGAAGTGTGGTGGAGTCGAGAGAAGCGCGCCTTTTATGACAGCAGCATTGGTGTTGAACACGCGCCTTGGGTGCTGTGTCACAAGGTCTTAACACGCACAAGTCGTAAGACGAGCATGATGCGCCTTGCATGCG